TTCAGATGAAATTGAACGAGATACATATTGGGCTTTTAATGGCCTATATTATACAAGCCCATTAATTACTAATACGGCGCCGTTTTAAAGGTCCTCAATAATTCTGGTTGGTGCTTTAAGCATGATCAAGTAGCATTTGTTAAACTAAAATAAAAATGTTTCTTTAAACCAAGAACCAAATTAAACCAGATCCCACAAACAAACTCCACCAAATTGATACCAGATCCAAACTATAAAATGAAATCTATCTCATATGAAACCATTGATTAATATTCACAAATCCGAGAGTGTTAACAAACGAATCCCCAGATCTTACATTCAAATTTGATCGAAACCCAAACATAACCGGAGTTTTATTAAAACCAGTAATAAACTACACAGTTAACCGGAATAGATGTGGACGTTAATGGCGATGGTGAAGATAGTGATGAGACCGAAGAAGATGATAGCGTGAACGAGAATCGACGCTCCACTCGTCTGCATATTACCGAATTCGACAACTCGACCTCCCGCCGGAATCTGGAAAAGAAGTCCCGGCGATAAAACTACGAAGAGGATCACGGCGATCAAAACTGGACCCCAATCCGCCATACTTTCTTGTTTCAGAGAGAGAGAAAATGAAATTTAAAACGAAAATTGCAAGAGAGAGAGAGAGTGGGGAAGGAGCTGGAGTTATTTTGTTTCGTTAGAGACGAAGCTTCTCGTATGATGTGAAAGCAGTTTGGTGTGGTGAATCGACCAATTAGTGATATCCACGTGGATATAACAGATACTTTTTATGCAGAAAATATTTCGAACGACGTGATTATTCGAACCGGGCTTCTAACCCGATTTCGTTCACTGTGGGCTTTTATTTTTCGGCCCAGTATGCTATTTTTGACCTCGAGAAAAATAAAAAAATCATTAAAATATGAAGCTAAGAAAGCTTTTGTTATTGATTGATGTGACATTAGTTAATTTTCCTTTTTGATTAGTATTTTCATAATCGAACGTTGAGGAGTGAAGGTCAAATATATGAACGTTATATAAAACGGTAACTTTTTTTACCGTTGTGAAGATAAAACCAGATAAATTATTACCAATCGATTCTGTTATGTTTCTGTTTTACATAAGTTTGGTGTTCATAGAG